CTGCACGCCCGGAGTGCGCCCTCTGCCCTCACGGGGACAGAGGGCCCCGCCGCCGTTATGTTGCCGGCCATCTACACCGCTCTGGCCGGACTGCTGCTCCTGCCGCTACTGGTGAACTTCTGCTGTCCCTACTTCTTCCAGGACATGGGCTACTTCCTGCGGGTGGCCGGCGTGGCCCGGCGGGTGCGGGGTTACGCGCGGCGGCGGCCGGTGCGCACCCTCCTCTGGCTCTTCCAGGAGAGAGCGCGCCAGACCCCACACAAGCCTTTTCTGCTCTTCGGCGATGAGACGCTCACCTACGCACAGGTGGACCGGCGCAGCAATCAGGTGGCGCGGGCGCTGCACGACCAACTTGGCCTGCGCCAGGGGGACTGCGTGGCGGTCTTCATGGGCAACGAACCAGCCTACGTATGGCTGTGGCTGGGTCTGGCCAAGCTGGGCTGTGCCATGGCGTGCCTCAACTACAACATCCGCGCGAAGTCCCTGTTGCACTGCTTCCAGTGCTGCGGGGCGAAGGTGCTGCTGGCCTCGCCAGGTGAGCCCTTGGGACGCGCCCCGCCCTGGGAATGGTACTTCTCCACCTCCTGGCCAAGCACCTGCAGCGTGTAGTGGGGGCTGATGAGGAATGTTTCAATTGGAACTGGGGGATAGAGCAGAGGAGAATGGCAACGCTAATAATGATCACTGGAATTACCAGTTGTTGAAATGTATGCGTGCTGGGCACTGTTAAGCACTGTAGCATTTACAGTATTCTTTTTAATCCTCAGAACAGGTAGGATTTGCATAGTGCTTATGTAGATGAGGTCATTTAGGCCTAGGAGAGGGAGAGACTCAAGTCCCAGGTCACAGAGCTAGAGGGTAAAAGAGCAAGAAACAGGCAACCTTCAAACTCTAACTCTTTCCCAATTCTTACAACATCTACATGTCTGTGTAGCGGATCCTGAGTGAAAGCCATAGATGCTTACAGATTGCTGTCATCTCTGCATCCCGATTGTCTGAGTTTAAGAAAATCATTTCACCTCTCTGTTCCTTGGTTTTCATGGAAAGCAGGCTTCCCAGCTGCTTCCAGCTTCCAAGCGTTCATAGCATCCCTGGCTTCTCACCACTGAGAAGGCAACCCTACCACATACTCAAGAAGATTCTGGGGCTCGCCTGTGGTGCCCTTGTGGGTCTCCAGTGCATTTCTAATGTTGGGGAGCCACTTCCCCAGTTCTACAGTGGCCTTCTGGCACCTGTTAATCAAGCTTGAAAGGATAACGTCCTGCAAGAAGAATGAGCCAGGTCAGGAAGAAACAGAACGTGCTATGCACAGGCAGGTGGTTTTGCCTTCTCAAGGGGCTAGTTTTTGTACTTGAATAAGGTTACATCATTCTCTATTAATAAAAGGAAGTCTAAGCAGCATGAGTGAAATCCTACCTTTCTGGAATGCCGTCCATACCATACCCTATGCTGAATAGTACATGCATTGCTTTGGATAATATTTTCTCCCATTATATACCTGAGAAAACTGAAGCTTAGAATTCAAAATTAATTTTAACTTCTACCCTCATGCTCTATCCTTATATCATGCTGCTTTCCTCTGTAAGGATGTAGTAAGAGAGCTGGAAACATGTGTCTGGTCTACCAATTCATTTTATAGCTAGGAAAAGTGAAACAAGTTCAGATTGTCGACCACCAGGTATGGATGAGATGCCAGTTCACTTGTAGGAAACTAGGAACTGACACATCTGTTTTATGGAGCATTAAAAAAAAGTCAAAAAGCTAAAGATGAGTGGGAACAATGTTAAAGACAGTCGAATTATTTTGAAGGAGGAGCATTTTCAATGTGTTGTAATGATTCCTAATTGCCGGGCAGGGGGTGGAGGAGGGGATAAGAAAATCCTGCTTAGTAACACCAAGACTCTAAAGCTTATTATTTAATCAGCTGACTTGGAGAAAAGTATTGGCACTATGATCTTTGTACCACTTCAAGAGTCACTGAAACAGCACTTTCCCCCTTGATCAGTGGACCTGATGCCAGTGAGGCCAATCAAAGGGCATGGACTTGTATTGGAGAGGAAACCCAAGTTAAAGTGACTGTAATAGTGTTTCAGGAGTCCTTGGGTAACAAAAACAAGTAAGAAATAGTTAACCCTCAGCTGCTCACTGAAAGGTTGGAGGTTCAGATCAACCCAGAAGCACTTTAGAAGAAAGGTCTGGTGATCTACGCCCAAAAAAAAGTCAACCACTGTAAATTCTGTGAAGTGCAGTTCCACTCATTGCATGTGAGGTTGGCATGAGTCAGAATCCACCAAGGCAGGAGTTTTGTTGTACTTTTGATGAGTTGCAGGATTGAATTTTCAAACTTTACAACAGAGTTTCCTAGTGGTCTGTAACAGCATTCTGTAATATTGTCAGAAATATAGCCAGTTAGGTCCCCCATTCAGCCAGTGGTCCTCTGCCATAGTGTATTGTTTTTAGTCAGTATCAATAGAGATGGTTAGGAAATTCCTTTATTACTAGATTCTACAGTGGACCTACTGCACTCTTGGGCAGTAAACGGGCCTTTGGCGAAGTCAGTTTTTTTTGTTTTGTTTTTTCAGTCTGTCAGATAGCTTTAGGGACAATGCAGAATTACATTGTGACCTGAAACAGTGACTAAAAAGGGGGTAATAATACGTGTTTAGGAAATGTGCCTTGTGTATTTTCTTAAATGAAGAAATTCTTAGAATTCTTTGAAATTAAGGTTGGAAGGGATTTCAGAGATTCTAATCCTATAATTCCTCACTTTTAATAAGTGTGTTATACTTGAGGGAGCTCTGGTGGCCTAGTGAATAAGGAGTTGGACAATGGTTGGAATCCACCAGCTGCTTTGTGGGAGAAAGATAGGCAGTCTCCTCCCATGCGGTTTATGGCCTCTGAAAATGCTGGAGCCGTGAGCTGGAGCAATGAGTTGAGTTATATTTGAATAAAAGTCCAGAAAAGAAACTATAATGAGCCCATGAATCATCTGGGAAACATATTTTTAAAACCAGCTTCTTGAGTCCACTCCCCAAAAAGAATAGTTCAATCAGACTGTGATGGGATCTAGGGATGAATATTTTTATAAAAAGCCCTACTCACTCCAAGATGATTTTGAGCTGAAGTCCAGGCTTTGAGACAATCTACTTCAATCTAGTCCTTTTGTTAATGAACAAACAAGGACCCAGAAGGGTGTCAACAGATGCCCAGGGTCATGTAGCTGATTAGCAACTGCGATCTGGGGACAGAATCCAAATGTTTTTCTCACCATCAAGGGTACTTTTTATTTTTTTTTTTTAACACTGAGCATAAACGAAAAGCTTTCAAAACCTTGGAGTGGTGACAATTCAACAGTTTGCTTCTGAACTTTGAATTTCAGTCTCAGGGCCTGTGGGCTCGTAAGAACTCTACATTTCTAGCTCTGGAGTCTATGTAAAGGACTAGTGCCATGTCATTTATCGGGAGGATTGATTGAGCCATAATTGATTGTTGGGGGCACTTCATAAAATTTAAGGAGTCTCTGTATTGTACAAATGGCTAATGCACTCAGTTTTTGCTAAGAGATTGGTGATTCAAGCCCACCCAGAGGTGCCTTAGAATAAAGGTGCCTGGTGATCCACTTTTGAAAAATCAGCCACTTAAACCCCCCGCCCCGAGTCCAGTTCTATCCAAACTCACATGGGGTTACCATGAGTCAGAGTTGACTGGCAGCTGGTGTTTCATAAAGCTTAACAAGGTGCAACCTTGCCAGGGATTTTAATCCTGAATTCCTTCAAAATTTACTATGCATACATAAAGTTGAGTCTCACAAACATGTCTCTGAATCAGACAAGAGCTACTCTCCACACCAAGAGCATGGGTTTTTTTCAGTAGAATACATTTCAGGATGCTTTTCCATTTCAGCTAATGCACATACTTATGTTGTAATTGATTTAAGGTAACTTGTTGTGCTGATAGTTTTTCAAGCAACTTCCCATATGTAGAATAGCAGGGAAACAGGGAAGTATCTTTCATTTCACCTAACTTGAGACATTTTGTAGAGGGGGGGGGGGAAAGCCAAACAATGCTGAAATAGTAAATTCACTGTTAAACTATTCATTTATTTTGTTGTTGTTGTTTTTTATTAATACTAGCATTAAGATATTCCTAAAATGGCTCCTCTACTGGAAGGGTAACCCAGGTCTTTCAAGTATCTCTTTGTCAACTCACTAAGCAGGTCTATTTTACCTGACACAAAATAACTATGTAAGATGCCCACAGGGTAGATACTATTCTTGTACAAAGCTATAGGACTAATCTGTCTGTTGTCAAAGAGGTTATAAGGGCCTCTGAGACCAGAAGAGCTAGATAGTGCCCCGCTCTGCTGCCAAACACTCTGAAAGGAATTATAATAGAAGACCCTGCATAGAATGGGAGGGAAAGATGAAAACAAAATGCTCAGGCTTACTGATCTGATAGAGACTATTGAAACCCTGGATATTTATGGCCCGTAGTTACCTTTCCAAGCTAGAACTGAACTCATCCTCACCCTTCTCTATCCCCTACCTCTCCAACTCACTATGGCTCATCTCACAGCCAAACAATAGGTCTAAAAATAATCAAGCAATGGGCCTATAAAGTGAATATTAACACTAGGCACTCGCTTTTTTATTATTATTATTAAATTTTATTAGTTTCAATGAACATTCACAGGGATTCTGGGCTTTCACTCCTTCATTGCCGCGCCATTCTCTCCACCCTCCTCCCCAGTTTGTACTTCTTCCCCGCCATCCGAATGTCTGTTTTAATTGTCCAATTGCCACAGTGCTTGTCAAAGTCAGTTCTGATTAATCTCCTTTG